GCCGTCTAACTACGCCTCATGTGAGCCCCCAAAGAGAGAACACAACAGGAAGAGTTCAGAAAGCGGAAGTCTTTTAGTATACGAGGTACAACACATTTAGGGAAACAAACGTGTATAAACGATGTTCCTTGAGCCAATCAGATTCTTTTCTGAAATAGTGACCGGTCTCATTGGCTGTTGACTCAGTGAGTGACTGTAGTGTGAATCCTGAATTATTGATTGATTGTCTAGCATGATGTGTTTGCTCGCGCATAGGCCGATCAATAGCCTCTTGTGGACGCGGCTATGCCTTGCAAGGTACTGCTTGTTAAGGCTGTTCGTTAGGCCGTCCTAACACTTTCAAGGTTCTGGATCGTGGCGTACTCAAGTATACTGACGCTATAAAAAGACTGACTGGAGTCAGCTATAGTGATAACACAAAATGTTGCAATTGTTGTGGACAGAATACAGTGCTGTCTGAATTCCTTGTTCCGTTGGCTAAATGTCATGCAAATAACCTCTTTCCGACCTACTGAACTGCAGACCCTCTACCGAATTTTCTGTAGGACATAGTCAATAGTAGCACTGGCTTCGCTAACGCTCATTGCTGCCTGGGACTGCAACTCAGGGTTCTGTGTACGATAACCTCCTCGTTATGATGCCATCTGTATTTTACCCAAACCTGGGACTCGATCTGATGATTTTAGTGCACAACCACTACTAGGCACTACAACATGAGTATGAAGTATAAAATTTAATGTATCCAAATCTGTGGCCCACGTCTTAGAGACAGTGTAACCTATCTCCAAAAGCACCTATATTTTACCTACAGCACTGAGTTAAAACCTGTCAAAGCACACAAAGAAGTGAGCACGTGGACAAGCGCGAAATTGATGCCCCAGAACACTGAAGGGAAGTGGTTTTGAAGGCAACCAATAAGTCGAACTGGAGCAGGCGTGAGTTTACAATATCTTCTCCTAAATAGAATGTTATTCGAGATGCGAGAGGTGAGGAAGAATATTGACCTCCTCGAGTGGGTGCATCGGAAGGCAACGAGAATAATAATAATAATAATAGGGTTTATTTGTAAAGCACATCTTCGGAGACCGTCAAAAACCCCGGAAGGCAGGAAAAAACCTAACCCAAACCCCTTCCTT